AATATTACATCTAGATAACGTTGTTATAAAATCTAGAAATTTTTATAATAAGTGTAAGTAGAAAGTTACTTAAACGTCACTTATAATTAATGGATTAATTATTGATTTGAGAGATTATAATATAAAATATATCGTAATTAAAACCACGTGTAAGTTTCTTAACATTATTTAAGTCACTGAATCAGAAAATTAATCTAAAGAGGGTGGAAAATGACTTGAATAAACCAGGGTTCAGTATACGAATAATTAGTCGCTAGTTATTTTTTTTTATAAGAGAAGGGGGCAAACGAGCGACGATAACACCGACGTCAACGACGCCAATGGACATCCGCAACACAGAGGAAGTGCAGATGCGTTACCGGCCTTTGAGGAAATTGTAGGCTCGCTTGTTGAAGGACCCTAAGTCGTATTGGTTTGGAAATACCGCCGAGGACAGACCGTATCACAACGCGGCTGTGCGGGGCAGAAAGTTATTATTATTATTCTATTGAAGGAATAACATACTTACATTTTGGACCCCCACTTAATACTTTTAGTGGATGATTTTAAAACAAATCTTTTATAGCGCTTATCTATGTAGTATTAGAAACCCATATGCATAATATCAAGTCTCTAACCATCGTATCTGTACTGTACAAAAAATTTTTAGATGCAAACTTTGACCGCTTTAAAAATCTTTAGAGGTGAAATTTAAAAAGCACCTAAAAATATATTTAATTATATCTGTAAAGTATTAAAATAGAAGGGCTGTCGGTTTGTTTTATTGTTTTTAAATAGTCCAAATAATGCTTCTAATCGTTATTAAATCCAGAAAAGGATCTCCAAATAAAAACCTTACCATGAAAATGAACTCGCAGAAAACTAAAAGGTGTTTTAACTTTGTTTATCAGATTCAATTATACATTCGTCGAGGCGGACAACCTGACTCATGCCATAAGCCAAATTAGCTTTTAATTTGTTTTTCATAACGGGGGGAAATGACTCTATTTTATTATTTACTAGCTTTCGCCCGAGACTCCGTCCATGTGGAATTAAAAAGAGCAAACTGAGTAAGCCTATGTGTTCTACCAGACTATCCTCTACGTCTATGCCAAATTTCATCGATATCCGTTTAGTCGTTTAGGCTACAAGCTATAATAAATATCCATCCATTGAAACTTTCGCATTTATATTAATAGTAAGACTACACGAAATATTTTTTTCTTTGTTTAAACAGGGAAAGTACAACTTGGATACTGATGTATTTAACGAAACTGTTTTTATTTTATTTAAACATTTTATTATTGTAACGTCCATACACAACGGTGGCAGTTGTAAAATCTGAGATATATTAAAATTTATAAGTAAAATAATCTTAACATTGAATTCATAATTATAACCTAATAACAGAAACGTTAGAGATTTTTTACGTTTTAAATTGAATAAAATCCTGTTATAAAGAGGAAAGATTTGTATTTTTGTATATCTTCAAGTAACTCAAAAACTACTGGACTGATTCAGAAAAATTATTCACAATTACAGAGTTACGTTATCAGTGAGCAACATAGGCTATATTTTTTATTATTATTTACTTTAACACAGACGAAGTTGCGAGCAACAGCTAGTATTGAATAATTTAAACCATACAAACTATAACGAAAATGGAATGCGCAATTCCCCAAACAGGGGTATGTGGTATGAATTTTTTACTACTCAAAATATCTACGTATCTACTTTAGTAAAGCAAACAGCCCCTTCCCCCTTTTCACCTCCCTACCTCGTGCCAGTCGCGGCTGAGCACGGCCCGGAAGACATGCCTTGTATCGATCCTATGCTAATTCCACGACTTAACTCAGATTTATTGATGGCAATCCGAAACCCCGGGCAATGACGCGAATGGAAATGTTTACAGCTATGTATTGATGTGACTTAATATTAATTCTATGTACTACTAGCTTTCGGCCGCGTCTCCGTCCGTGTGGAATTAAAACAAAAGTGAGTAGCCAATTCGTTCATCCGTTTAGGCTACAAACAATTACAAACATCCATTCATTTAAACTTTCGCATAGTATAGTATGATTGAGCTTAAATATAAGTCATACTAGATTTTGCCCGCCACTTCGTCTGTGCGATACTATAAAAAGTGTTAAGTAACTTTTATGTCAGGAAAGAATTGTGAAGAATGATTCTTCTTAAAAATAATTGCAGATTTTTAAAACATAAAGTGAATATTAAAAATGGGACAATAACTACTTAGATCCACTAAGGAAGTATATCGGTTACTTTTTACTTTAAACAATGTTTTTCAATGTGTGAAGTTTTTATATATTGGTGGTAGTCAGTTTATGAAACATTTTACATGTTATTGTGACCCGAAAACAATTTTGCGAACAAATTCCTTTTAAACAACAAGCCAATAAATTAAAAAGCTACCGGTACCGAGTCGCGAAGTATTTAAAGGTATTTCTTTTGGCAAGTTCCTATGCGGCGAGCGTCCCGTGGCGCAGTTCCCCGCGCATCGAGTGCGCTGTAATCGATGCTTCAACAATCGATTTACTTAGAATTATCGACATTTTTGATTGTACAATCAAAGACAAAAGTGTTGAAATTACATTAAAAAAAAGGTGTTTCTCGCGACTTCATCCTCGTAAAATTGAACATTATTAAAAAACGTTGCGTAAAGTCTATTTCAATTATTTCAATTCAGACAAAAACACAAAGCTTTCTTCTTTATAATATAGAAGGTAGTGTGTTTTTTTTGTTTTTGACTATCGAGATTGTTAACACAGTAAATTATATCATGCTTGTATGAGACGAGAGTGAATTTATTGTCGTAATTGTTAATAAGATCTATGTATCAGTAATTATAATTTCAAATTAGATAACCTTGGCATACAAAACGTGCGACAGTGGGAACCGACACTCATCACAGATCCTAGCCACCGCTAACAATCAATAAGTATGTAATCAATCGGCGTACATCCCAAGAACAATGGAAAAATGATAATTACACAACGTCAATTAAGATTCATTAATAATGGCGTTGCAAAAAAAAACTTAGGACAATGATAAAATAAAAGATGAACGGAGAATTTTTGTATTTCAAAGTCGTATACCTAAACGATTACATCATGACACGGTTACGCTTGGCAGAATCGAAATTAATACCTTTTAAGACAAAGTAATTATTAATAATACAATATTTAAACAAAATTGAGTCGAGAGTCACTTTTTTGTCACATGTACAAAAGTACTTTTCCACGCGACTGTACTTTCAAACAGACAAGTGAGTTACAATTCACGTCGTCAATACGTTAAGTGGCCGACTGTACAATAAAACATATAGTAACAGCCCCCCACTGATTTTTATATTCCGAACTCGTTCAGAATAAAATTATAAAGGGCATTAATAACTCACTAAGTGATATATGTATTTCTTGGTAGCCGACGTATGCAAAGTGGGTAGTTTTACTTTTTGTAAGTTGGATTTACGCGCCCAATTACCGTAGGTGTATCTTGTATTGATTTGTTTTACTGTCCGCTCGTTACATCTCTTTTTTTTATTGCTTCGCGCTGTCTTTTATATTCAATTACGTTCATAACCAAAAATCTTTTCAACCTGTTACAATTACTAGTATTCCAAATGCGGTAGTTTGGATGGATGACTGTTACTACATATCTCTTAAACAGTTAAACGAAATAACGATTTTTTAATTCCGCGAAGTCAAAGTTGCGGGAAAAAACAACAATCAACACAAATCTTATTACGTCACGGCGATTGTCATTTGTTAAAATGAAGTCGCAGAATATACAAAATATAAAAAATATAACATAAAATTCTGACGTAGAGTTTTATGGTGTACTTTACCATTTTAAAATTAAAAATTCACGATATAATTATTACCTAGAAGTTTATTCTACTGCTATCAGGATGTAGAGTGCATTACACTGTTTGAACAAAGTAGTCGTTGCTTTGTTTTTGTTATTTTAATTAGTATTCGTTGTATATCTGAAGGTTATTTATATGTCGTCCATTTTTTTTACGTATAAAAGTCTTTTATGTGGAAAATAAAAAGTAAATAAGTGAAAGTAATTTTGTCCATGATTGACATTGACAGAGTTTTTTGTTGGGAATATTTTCATATCTTTATTTTTTCATTACTGAATTTCATGCCGAACCTATACACATTGCTTTCGTACTTGTGTTTCGTTAACTTAGACAAAAGAATAAAACATAACTTATCCATTTGTCATAACCTTAACAGAACATCCGACATCGCAAATCTATGCAATCGTAAACATCGATTCCGAATAATATCGATTACGTTCCAAAGAATCGAGATCTCGTCGAGAGCGCATTTATTAATACGTGCCGTAGAGCGCTATAAAATATTCAGACAGCATTAAATACGTGTCGTGAAACACATTTATAAGTAATCGAATACAATCGGTATGCGGGATCGATTCTAAACTCGATATCGCGCTTTGAATGCTGTAAATTGGCGTTTGATTAGCAGAATTATTTAAATCGTGCTTCCTTGCGTAACTGTAGTAGCACGTTTGACCTTTTGTGAACTTTTAATTAAATAGTTGCTAGAAAATATATCACTTCGGCTGATAGTTGCTGATTTTTATCAACTGAACATAGACATTCAAATAAATTATAGAGCGGATGTAGAAATATTTTCCTATAAATGTCACATGCAAAATACACTTTTTACCTTGGCGGAAAATGTGGTAAACTGGTGTGCCGTTACTAGCAATATATGTTCACAAATTCCGGAAAAATATCAACAAGATAATATGAGACGGGCCAGTGTCAAACTACGATTCCTCTTCTACCCTTCAACTTTACTAAAAATAAACATATCGGGCTAAAGACGGGTCAGTGATACTGTAAGTTGGTCAGCTACTTGTAAATTTATTCCCGGTCTAGTTTTAACAAATACGCCTTCCGTCTGATGTTCCGCATTGTTAGAGGCCATTCTGATAAAAGGGAAATTAATTAGTATACCACTTACCTTGGAAGTAACTCTTGGTGCGTAAATAGCTGACAGAGAGTCGCAAGATGGATAGACGGTCCAACTTGCTGAGGATGTTCTGTTCGAAGGGCAGGAGCGATGCGAGGGTGTCCAGTTCTGCGTTGAGCCGCTCGCGGTGCCGCTTGCTAGGGTTGCTCTTCGTGACGCCGTCTTTTGATGGGGGCTTGATACTGGAACAAGAGAAACATAATAAAGTTAGAGTAAAAAATATTATGCCTGTGGTTTTGTTTTTTTTATTAAAGGCTGATTTGTGTTGTATCAGTTATCGCAAAAAATGTTGAAGGTTTTTCTGTAGGTACATCTCTGTGGGATGCGTCATGTTCTACAAAATTTTAAGTCATGCCCTTATTCTGTTCATCCTTTACCCTGTCCATCGCAGGTAGGCAACGAATCTTTACCTTATTGTAAGAAATTTAATTTCTATACTAAGTGTGTGGATAGTGTTTTAAATAATTTTGTGCAAGACATATATATACTAGCTCAGGAGACAGAGTCCCACTAACTGTACTAAACTGTTTTAGTTCAATAAAGGTTTTTTTTTATTTTTATATACTCGTCTCTTCTTTTCCTATGTCCCCAAAGTGGGACAGAGGGCGTCCACAGTACGTCGCTAGCTCGCTCTGTCCTGATATACTCGTAATAGTGGTTAAAAATTCCATTGTCCGAGTTAGAAAAACAGCTTAACAATTTTATCACATAAAAAGCATACCGTTAGATTCAAACCATCATGAGCGACATTATCACATCGAGCTTTAGAAGCCGAAAAAGCTCAGCGCACTAGCTTTATCCTCAAGTTATGCAAACAAGCTTGCGTGACTGAACACTCGTTAGACCAGCTACCGTTCCTAACTCGAGTCACCAGTTACTTGATATGAGTGATCTGAATGTTTGTTACTCTGTGCACATCTAAGTGGAATGCATAGGAGCCTTCTAACATAAACAGACGTTTAATTACGAAATTGATGTTAAGATTGGAAATAGATTTTTAAAAGGTTTATTTGTGAAAATTGTGTTTTGCGAATTTATGACATTTTAAACGTTAAGATAAATGAAAAAAAAAAAGTAAATAGAGAATTTAATTTATTTCAAAAGTATAACAATCTACATTGTCCTAGCTTACATTATCTCTTACTTCTCAAATCACTTTCCGAAAATACCAACACCCTCACACTAGGCCAGGTCTGTTTTATACGGTGCGAGTACAAGGGAGTTGGAATTTAAAGTCCAGACTATCCTCGAGTTCGTCGTAAGACAACGAGGCAAGCCAGTCTGATACAATACTCTTTACCTCTATTCTTGTTTTTCATGTCACGGTTCATTTCCACTTGGTTGTATGCAAAAAATTTTGCACAAGGACCACAACAAAGTTACAAAGTTAAGATATGCTAGATATTTTTGATAGTTAAAAAGATAATTTTATTTAATCATGTTAAAATTATTGATTACACAGGAAAGGCATGAAAATAAATAAAGCAGTAGAAGAATAAATCATTTCCTACTGATATAGATGCGTTTCTAATGCGGTTCATTTGATTATCATTTGTTAACATTAAAATACAAGTGAAGCAAACAAAATGTATTTGTTTTAGTTAATTTGTGCTACACGTCTCTGCCATAGGTTACTTTTAAATTAGTTATACGGACGTTAGAGTGGCGTAGAGTCGATAAGCAATACTAAAAGTATTTTAGTTGTATAAATAATTGTTTAGAAATACATCAGAATAGCCAACAATAGCAATTATAAGGAAATAAAATACATATTTAGCTTTTGTTTTAAAATGAAACCCACTAGTAAATAAAATTTCAATAAAAATCATGCAGTAAATTGTCACCACTCACCAATCAGACATAAAACTTTTTTTGATAAAGTGTTTTGGTATTGAAAATTTACAGTAAGGGGTATAATTTTATTATCAAAGAATTCGTTTTTTTAATCTCACTTCTTACTATAAAAAATTTATACATGCGAAAGTTTGGATAAATGGATGGATATTTGTTAGAGTTTGTAGCCTCAACAGCTGAAAGTATCTCGATAAAATTTGGCATACATATAGAGCAAAGTCTAGAAGAACACTTTTTTAATTCCATGCGGACGGAGTCTCGAGCGAAAACTAGTATAGTTTATAAAAATACTCTCAAGTCCACTCCATTGGAGTCTCTGTTAGAAATGACTGCATTACATTCGGGCATTAGTCATTGCCGCCCGCCGTTTTTGTTGATTTATTCAGAGGTGGGATATCAAACGGAGCACGGCCTTTGATAGCCCGCAACAATTTGTATCCATACATGATAACACGAACATTGTAAATTACACCCTATAACCATAGTTTTAAGGTCCAAAATTTAAATTGGAATTATGATGCTGGTAATCGAATAAATCAATGACCGATTATTTCTATAAATCGTAACTCGATTAAGTTATAATCGACATCTATGATAAGCGGTACTAAGGTAATGTCGTACTGATAATATATGGATCATTATCTTAAATATATTTAACTAGCTGTTACCATGCGACTTCATCCGCATAAAATTATAAAAAAATCTTTTTATTGTTCACATTTGTCAAATTTTCAATTGCAACTGTCAAAATGACAAGACGATGGCAAACCATGGCAACCTTGCTTCCTTGATGTTGATAGCAACTTATGGTCTCTTTCCCAAATTTGGGTTTTTATCCAAAACATTTCCCCCTAAGTTATATGGCGTGAAAATATATAGCCTAAAGCGTGACGTAAGTGTAGATCTTTTTGTTTTAAAAAGAATAATTAAAAAATATGATGTACTTGCTGATATATTAGGCAACAAAGAAGTGTGTTTACGCTTTATTATAATATAATATAGATATATTTCATTTAGGTATAAACAGAAACATATCCAGAAAGTTTAACTACGTTCCTCTTTCTTTCAATGCGTCTAACGAAGCAGGAACTTATGGTATAGGTAGTTCCAAATCTAGAAAATTTGTTAAATAAAATGTTTTACGCAATTCAATCACCACTATTATTCGAAAGTTTTAATTGAATATATTCTAAATTGTCTACGCCTTGATTGACACGTCAAAACGAAACTGTATAAAAATATGCAGTTTCTTTCAATTAAACAAAACGGTTCTAGATTCGATTCCATTATTCCCATTTGAACGTGTCACAGCTGAATACCGTATCGAAATCGTGTTAATTAACGATTTATAACTGCTATGCAAGTTATTAAATAGTCGACAACCGTTTTATTCGGTTTCAATTGTTTTTTAATTGTTCGAAATTCAAATGCATATCCTAATTTCTTTTTAGATTATGAGCGAACGCACACTATTTACTAAACTATCGCAAAACTGTTGTGTGATCGTCGATTGTTTCGCAGCCCATTCAACTGTTTAGTTGCACAACTAAAAGTCGAGTAGTGTACTCACCTCCTTATAACCTCATCATCCGCTTGCCCTTATCCCTTACGGAGGGTCGGCACAGTATGTGCTGCTCTTCCATACATCTCTATCAGCCGCCATATCTGAATCCACTCCTTTCTTAAGCATATCCTCTTTCACACAATCCATCCATACTTTCTTCGGTCTTCCTCTTCCTTTGTAGCCATCCACATTCAATCTTAACACTTTCTGGTTTATGTCCCCATCATTTCGTCGCATAACATGTCCATACCACGCTATACTTTTGCTTCTCAATTTCTCCACCACTGGCGCTACTTTCAAGTTTCTCTAATGTACACATTCTTAACTTTATCCATTCTTGTCACACCACACATCCATATTAACATACGCATCTCAGCCACATGCAATCTCCTTTCATCCGCAACTTTGGTGGCCCACCTCCTTATAACCTCTTGGAATCAAAGCGTGATTAAACAGTTATGCGATAGTTTAGTTTCAGGTGTGCGCGCGCTCTTAATATATCTAAAACTAGCTGTTCCCGTGCGGCTTCATCCGCATGAAGTTATAAATTTGTCAAATTCTCAATTGCAAATGTCAAAATACCTTTTACCTTACTATGGCAATCTTTCTTCCTTGATGTTGGCAGCAACTTATGGTCTCTTTCCCACATTAAGGTATTTATCCAAAATATTTAACTACTCCCTAAGTTTAATAGCGTGAAAATATATAGCCTAAAGCGTGACGTAAGTGTAGGTCTTTTTATTAAAGAAAGAATTATTCAAAAACATGCTGTGATTGTTGACATCTTAGGCAACAAAGAAGTGTGTGTTTACGCTTTATTATAATAGTATAGATATAATATGCGAAAGCATTTAGAAAAATATGATTTTGTTAATATAACATCTCTAATGATTTCTAGTAGTCCGACGGCCGTTGAAACATTTGCGACACGATTCATGCATTGCTTTTTGCTTATTTTAAATCACATAAACTAAAAGAATAGCTTATAAACGATTACAAAGCATTGCTATTATCTGAATATGAACAAACGTAGAGCAAGGAGCAGCTGATTCTCATACTTAAGTGTAATTTGTTCAACTCTAACGAACATTTAATCGGAGCGACTTCATCTTGCTTTTGATTTATAACGCCGAAATAGTTTTGGTACATTTTGTTACCGTTATGTTATGTACTAGCTGTTGCTCGCGACTTTGTCCGCGTGAAATTTAAAAAAAAATACAACCTATGTTAATCACAACAATTACCTTTGTAACGGTGAAATTTTTAAAATCAGCACAGTAGTTTTTTTAGTAATTTCAATAGATACGAAAATACAAATCTTTCCTTTTTATATTATTAGTATAGACAAACGTACACTAGTACCTACCATGGATATAATGTTCTTTATTTGCTGACACACTATTGCACACACACTATTTACAATAATTGGTAACTGCATTGTTAAAAAATGAAAACGTTGTTACATTGCTTGCATCTTGCACTCTCATTCGCGCCTAAAAGCGTTGTTTTTTTATTTTTTTTAATATCTTGCTTTCTTGGCAGCCAGTGCGATATTAAATATTCATCCAAAATGTTTTTGCAATTAAAACAATTATAATTTTACAATTATCTTTATAAATTATGTTACTATTTAATGTCAATATGCTTTTATTTTTAAATGAAAGAAAATAAATTTACAATTGTTGTCAGCGCCATCTATTATCAATTATTGCTTAACATTGTTATATGAACTAATTCTTGCGTAGAAACTAACGGTGAAAATGT